GATTGATCGGTGAATCCTGCAGAAGAATGAGGAAGAGTTAGCAAAATGGAAAGATTTTCTTGGAGGCTTTGGGACCTACCTTTGACCAGCTTGGCAAAGTGGAAGCGCACACCACGCAGGATCTCAGGCACGACACCAACTTGGCTGCACTGCACACCGATTGCTTCGGTGATGGCAGCACCCAGCTTCGCATCTGCTATGCCCAGAGTGCACTTCTTCTTCTTCAGCTTGGCGAAGAAGTCATCAAGGAAATGCAGCAAGTCCTGGGGCACAATACCTTCGGAAATGGCATTGATGTTCTCTAATGCGGCAATGGCCGTTTTGAAGGGAGCAAAGCCAGCCAGTTTCACAATCGAATTGAACTTGGCAAAATCCGTGACGGAGGACTCCACCTGGGGCAGGAACATGGAGACCTCCTCAAACTCCTTGACGGAGAAGACAGAAAAGCCAGCTGCATGTTCGTATAGACAATACAGTATCGACTGAAACGGCAAATGGAAAATATAATCAATTTTGGTGTGGTGGCAGTACATGTGTTTTCGGGGGTGCTCCACTCAGTGCCCGTCTTTAGGTTAGTTCTTTAAGTCTGGGTTTATCATTTTGCCACTTTCTTCAGCAAATTATTGGTGAGACCCGACTTAGAGTGGCATATTTACCATATTTAGGCCGTAAATATGCCTTTTTAAGGTGAAAATTTAAATTATCCACGCACGATGCCACTACGTTGTTTTTCCACGTGCTTTTTTAAATGACAGTGTGACCGCGGATTTATACCATGCAACTCTCAGAAATATACCTTTCAACTTCAAAATATACCGTAAATAAAAAAAAAAAACTTCGATTTTGCATTTTTGATTAATATTATCAGCTAGTTGGGACTCTCAGCATTAAATAAATATTTGTATTCGATTCATTATTTATTCATAACTGCAAAGATTCACAAGTGCAGAATATATATTTGGCAAATATTAAAGTCTATATTTGTAATGCTTGTTACTCTGCCAGTATTTTTGGTATATAATGGAATATCTTATTATATTTTCTGTATATTACGGTATATCAAAATAACAGGTCATAATATATTGGTATCAATATTAGCTCATAATATTACCAGTTTCCAATAAATCAAGCGAACAGTAACTTTAATTTAAATCAGGTCGATGAAACTGTGTCAATCGGTATGATCTTTCGATAATTCCGCTGCCACACTGGTCACACTGGACTCTGCACCAACACAAGAGCACTGCAGTGTGTGTGTGTGATACCAATTTTATTTTTATTTATAACAATTTTGCGTTTATAAACACAACAAAAATAATAAGTTGCAATATACACTTCCTAGAATCCAATCCACCAGCTGTGCTCGCCCCAATTGCCGACAGCAGTGGTCACAGTATACGAACAGACACACATTTTCCACTGCCTCAGCCTGCCCACAAAACCTGCCACAATTGCCAGCAATTTTTGTAGATTATTATTTCGAATCAATTGTGTGAATATTCAAGAGATAGATCACTGGCACGTCGGTAAAATTCCTTGAGAACGGTGCGGCATTTGCCGGAACAGGCTAAGCAGCAGACGAATTTGGTGGGCCCGAGTGAAAGGCAAAGCAGACCCCCAGAGGCAACAGGAACACTGCATGGCAATGGACTTTTTGTTGTAAGTTCATGGAAAAAGGTTCTCAAGTGCAGCCAAGCCGCAAAAGGCCCGGTGCTGCAACAAAGAAAGCTTCGGCTACTCCATTGTGTGCTTTGTTCCCCGTCAGTGGTCTGTGGTGTGGGGGCCTTTGTCTCCCCACCTCCACCCATGTGGCCACTTGGGGTTGTTGGGGCCAATACTAATCGGCTTTTATATTTGCAGCGGTTCGCGTTCTAGTAAAACCTTCAAGCCGAAGAAGAACATACCGGAAGGCACGCATCAATATGATCTTATGAAGCATGCCGCCGCCACTCTGGGATCTGGTAATCTGCGCAATGCAGTGGCTCTGCCCGATGGCGAGGATCTCAACGAATGGGTGGCCGTTAACAGTGAGTAGTTAGTGAGCATGAAATTCTTATATGTACATAAATCTTCTCTCTTTCCTCACATCATTAGCTGTGGACTTTTTCAATCAGATAAACATGCTGTATGGCACGATCACGGAGTTCTGTACGGAGGAGAGCTGTGGCATTATGTCGGCTGGCCCGAAATATGAATACCACTGGGCTGACGGTTTGACCGTGAAGAAGCCCATCAAGTGCAGCGCCCCCAAGTACATTGATTATCTGATGACTTGGGTGCAGGATCAACTAGACGATGAGACGCTGTTTCCATCGAAAATTGGTGTACCGTTTCCAAAGAACTTTCTCACCTCCGCCAAGACCATACTGAAGCGTTTGTTCAGGGTCTATGCCCACATCTACCATCAGCACTTCTCCGAGGTGGTGACGCTCGGCGAGGAGGCCCATCTGAATACGTCCTTTAAGCATTTCATATTCTTTGTGCAAGAGTTCAATCTGATCGAGCGGCGCGAGCTGGCACCGCTGCAGGAGCTCATCGACAAGCTGACGGCAAAGGACGAGCGGCAGATATAGGACAAGTGGCAGACACCTAGCGGTGGCAGCGGTGTCGGCATCATCGGCATGCAATTGGACTTGTGATGGGAGCGCTCTGGTAGACTTGTGTATTACGCTTTAGTTAGTTACCGCCTTTCCTTTTCTTTACTTTCCTCGTTTATACATAGCTTTTAAGTTTCGTTCAGTGCTTCGTGTGGTCCCACTAAAAACAAAACATATAAAACACTAACTATAGCGGGCTAATAATGCTGATGAGCAACTACTATATTTTTATATGTGACTCGTAACTTTAAGAGATATATAGCATATTTATATATATGTGTGTAAAAGAGAAAACCAGAAAAATCAGCAGCACGCCTTCTATAACCCGCACAGAACACACACAAACACACGCGCCCCCAACCGCTTATGGAAAACAACCAATATTATGTTCACAAAACACAGTGCGTTCAATCGTTTTTCCCCCAAACAAATGTATGTATGTATTTATTACTATTAAACTATCGCATATGCATAGCTCGGCGTCGTGCAACGGATGGAACGACTCTTTGTAAGGCAAAACCCGTCAGCGCAATAGCATTGTGAGGCGGCGACGCTCGACAGCACCCAATAAATGATAATAATTGTAGACTTGATAAACATTTTTGATACGTTTTATACTAATAAAGAGAATATTATGAATACAGCCGCATGGCTACGCACTATTTTTGTATCGTACGTTGACTTCAATGAATTCTTGAAGCAAAATAAAAAGAAACGCAGATTAATTGATTAGCTTATAATCAGATTAGCGTGATGAAAATGATATTTATACAATGTACAACATGTCCGATTTATGTATGGAATTAAGGAATATACAACTGCTGGCCAATCCATCGACAGTGGGTCGCCCTAATCTATAGTATTTGGCTAATCGCTGCCTTATCTTTGTCGCCGCCGGCTAACCTAAATCACTTGAGTTTGCTTTTGTATTTGTCTTGCTCCATATAGAAATCGGAATTCTCCTCCAGCAACTGCTTCCATTTGATTGCAAGTTCTGCGTAGCTCGGACCCTGGCCACCCAGTTCCTTTGGCAGCTGCGTGCAGTTCACAGAGGTTCCCTCTCGGCGAACCATCACTCGGGACCGTATCTTGGGTGTCATAAAGATTCTGAAAGAACACTCAAATTAACTATGAAATAAATATTTGTGCCAGCAGACAAGAGCACCGGAAAGTGTTTAGAAAGATGTTGACATGACGCGGCGAGTTGGTAAACTCCAGTAGCTTGGGCTGGCAGGGATAGGCTGTCCAGCTCTCCACCGAACGTTTGATCAGCTTGGGATTTAGCTGCAGGGCATGGCCCAATTGTACGCCCTGCATATCCAGTATCGCCACCATGCCCTCAGCACAGCTCTCCGGATCGAGCTTCAACAGCAAGTCCAATATCATTTTGCTCGTCTAGCATGGAATAAAAAGCAAAGGTCTAAAATGTCTGTAAACCCATTTTGGCACGTTCTCCGTTACTCACCTTGAAGACATTGTTCTGTGTGTGTTTCTTAGGATCATGGGCCGCAGTTCGTATGACCACGACCATTCGTTTCTCCGAGTCGGTGCCAATGGGCAGGAACACGCCCAGTTGCAGCAGCTCCTGGATTTCGGGCAAATGGGGATCGCGATTATCGAACCATTCGGTGCGCTCTGCACGCATCTGATAGAATGTCTTTAGCTTCTTCTTTGTGCGTTCCACATCGTATTTGGAGGTGCGCAGAAAGAAATGCAAATTCTCGAAGGTGTTGCACCCGTTGACGTGGGGATTGGCGACCAGCCAATCGCTGAGCTCCTGCACCTGCCTCAATACCTTATCGGGATCGCTGTCGGGTGCGCTGACCTGCCGCCGTGCACTGCTGCTGCGCGACCACATCGTGGTCGTGGTATTTAAATGAAATTAAAGGCGATTATTACTGAACAGTTGTTTATAAACAATTTCAGCTTTCAGCGCAATGCACATCCACGAAAACGTAATCTACACAAAGCTTTTTGCGACTGCGACTGCAGCACGGCTATGTTGTGCTCGAAACGCAGTCTCAGCGATTTGTGCTGCCGAATGCTATAAGCTATATATAAGTTGTTATCCATTTGAAAGCTTAAATGTCGCTCAATTGGATTTACGCGCACACTTAAGGCTATTTTTGAATTTGCTGACTTTTGCAGTTTTGTATTTTGAGCTTAGCGAAGACTTTTCGATGACGATATCAGCGAAAGCACTTGGAGATGGGAGAAGCTCGATTACTCGTAAGCTTCTCTGTATCGATAATCGGTATATTGACTGAGCGCCAAAATAAAATCAATGTTAAAGAAATATTTTATAATTAATTAGAAACACCATAAACCGAAGGAAAATCTTTCGAAAAGCCCTACAGATGATTGACACCTATGGGTCATTATAATAGTCATTTAAAACCACTGTCACACTTTAAGATAAACTTTATTCACATAAAAAATAAATAATTGTTACATTTCAACATTTTGCTCTGCCAATTGCCGCACCATAAAATCGTCATGGCCTCCGTCGAATCTTCAACTCGGGTTGTCTCCTTGCCCTTCCTGGTGTTGGGGCTTTAATTTTGCTTAGTTCTTAGTCTTAACTTTTAAAATAGATTGAATATTTACACAGATGTTGGACGTGAAACTTAATTCAAAAACCGGATGGAAAGGGTGGCGGTGGACATCGGGCTCTGGGTTAAGGAAACAGGTACGGGTGCGGGAACAGGGCCGGGCCTGGAAACGGAGGTGCATATTGCTGGAGGTAAATTTTTGTTTTGTGCCCTGTGGGGTGCATCGGGTGGTGGTGCTGGTGCTGGTGCTGGATTGGTGGTGCAAGTGCTCAAAAGGCGCCATTGTAGTGCAGATTTTGTGATGCGAACTGTGGGATCCCATGGTTGAGAGCTAAAACTTTACTGATTACTTTCAATTCATCAAGATTTCTTAAGCTGCTAAATTGACTAAGATGATTGCTCGTTCCTCTACTCTTGAAGTGTGCATTACCTGGACTAATGTTGGATGTTGCATCGCCACCCTGGGGCTGCTGCTGCTGCTGCTGCTGCTGGATGAGTTGCTGCTGCAGATATTGCTGCGCGTTCTGCTGGAGTTGATTGCTCAGCTGTGGCGTCAGATGCTGCCTATAAAAGTTCTGATTCTCCAGACTGGGATTCGAGTGGGACTGCTGATGCTGCTGGCTGACGATGGTGGTGGCAAAGGAGTTGCTCGGCTGGATCTCCACATTGGAATTCAGGCCAAAGTTGCCCACTCCCGACTCCTGGCGAAACTGTCTTCCCCTGTGCTGCTGCTGCTGCTGGAACAGGGCGCTGCTCACGTAGCTGGGAAGCAGCAACTGTTGCTGTTGCTGTTGCTGCTGCTGCTGTTGGGGCTGTTGGAATTGCTTGAAGCTGTGCTGCGGCAGTGCCTGCTGGTGCGACGCCTCCGCGGGGGCAAAGTTGAACTGATTCGAGGTCTGCACCTGCCCATTGTTATTGATGGAATTTTCATTCGATTTCTGCAATGATTGCTGCAAGTTTTGGAAAATCTGTTGCACTGCACTCGCAGGGGCGGGGGCCGGCTGCTTCTGGTAGTTATTTTGGCTATTGCCGTTGTTCAGGGCAAATTTATGAGCCGAAACGGCATCGCGGAGCGGCAATTGCTGCTCAATTGGATATGTGGGATAAATAATAGTTTTGGTATGTGTGCTGGGTATAAATTCCACCGAAGGTCTTATGGAGTAACCCACAGCAGGCGGTTGCAGCGTCTGAATGGCCTCCAACGAACCATGTTGATGCTGCTGTTGTTGCTGCTGCTGCTGCTGCTGCTGTTGCGGTTGCAATGTGCTGGATTGAGCAATTGGTGAGCCCTGGAAGCGACTCTGGCTCTGGCTCTGGCTCTGCTCCTCCAGCAACTTCAACTGGCGCAAGATCAACGCCTGCTGCTGCTGTGCCTGCACCTTTAGCTGGTAGATCTGCTGCTCCAGGGCACGCTGTCGCTCAATCAAGTAATTGTTGACGCTGGGCGGTGCCTCCAGATCGCTGAGTGGCTCCTGCTGCAAAAAATAATTTCCAGAATTAGTCTTACATTTTGCTGCTTCTGTGTAACCCACCTTGAGATAGTTGGCGGTGGAGCTGGCCAGGAATGCGGGCGTGGTGGAGAAACCATTGCTGGGACTCGTGCTCGTGCTGTCCTGCGTGGTGGTGCCGCTGCTGCCTGTGGGTGGGTACTGTGTGGGCAGCGGAATGGTCGGTGGCTCCGTCTCCAACACATTCAGCTTGGTGATGGTGGGTCCAATGTGTGCATGATGCTGCGGCGGATAGTTGGAACGGTGTGCCCCCGACAGCAGGGGACGAAACTTCTGCGCAGTTCCCCGCTCATCTAGATCCACGGTGAAGGCCGTCACGAGTGGCGCTTCCTGTATGCGAATGTCCTGCTTGTCCACCAGCTCAATGTTCTCCCCATCCTCGTTGTGTGTGGGTCTTGGTGTCGTTGTGGTCGTTGTCGTTGTGGTTGTTGTGGTGGGACGACGCCGTGTGGTGCGTGGCCGAGGCGTCGTGGAGGTTGTGCTCGTCGTAGGGGTGGTGCTCGCCTCAGTGGTGGTTGTGCCCTTCCGCACATTGCTAATCTCGAACTTGATCTCATGGCTGCCATCGTGGGAGATCTCGTTGCTGCTCACGGACCCAGAGCTGGAGCCAGAGTCCACGCTGCGTGTCAGCTGGCGATTCTCTGGACCCGCCGCCTCCACCGACTTTGGTTCGATGGAATGGGCGCTCTGCTTCCTCAGTGCCGTCGTCTTCTTCCACAGCTTGGAGCGATCGATGAAGGAGGAGAGCAGCTGCTCCTGGGCATTGCGCTCATCGAAGGTGGCCGTGTAGAACTGCACGGTGGGCACCACAGCCTCCGGCTCCGCCTCCGCCTCCGACTCCACTTCCGCCTTGCTGGTGCTCTCCTCGAGTATCTCGTCCTTTTCCCGTGGCGATGGCAGTGTTGTGGCCTCATTCCGGGCCAGAGTTGTTCTCGATCCGCTACTTCTGGGGCTCTCCCCGCCGCTCTCCGTCACGCCAGCTGCAGAGGCAGCCGCCTCCTCCTGCTCCAGCTTGTCGATGGCCCGCAGCAGCGCCTGACGCACGGAGTAGTCCAACTTCTGGATGGCCTCGCGCGGAATGATCTCATTGCTCTCGGTGCTGGCGCTCTCCTCCCGCTCCTGCTCCCCTGCTCCGGCGCTGGCCAACTGGAGCGTGAGAGCGGCCAGCAAGAGCAGCACCAGAAGCGCCCAAGGCAGGCTGCTGTTGAAATATCTCTGAAAATGGAAGAATCGAGAGATTTAGCATGCGATTTGAATGATTTAATGGCTTGTCTTTAAATTTAATAACTTAATAAAGGTTTGAGGCCTAATCGCTGAGGCTTTCCGTCTTAGTTTCTAGGCCTCATTTGATTTGATGGTTCGCTGGAGCCACCTTGGGGTTTGGGTTCCCTTGGACTAATTGTTTGTGACATTGCACGTCGCTGACGCTTAATTTTTGGTTGCCCAAATAATTGTAATCTCTTCAGGGATTCTTTCATACATGAAATTTCGAAATTCTTTCGAATTCACTTGTGCAACATGCTCGAAAAATGCATGTAGTTGAGTGCTTTGCTGACCCTTTGGCTTTACCAAATCGCAAGTGGGTAATCTTTCCGGCATTCGCACAGACACAGGCTGAGGCACAGGCTGAGGCTGAGGCTGAGGCACAATCATAACGCATTATAATCATGGCTGGCCAGCAAAGAGTTTGCCCACTCATTGCCGGGAGAAGGAGGATTGGATCTGTGTGGGATCTGTGGTTTTCGGGCAGCGACTAGCTGAATGACTGACTGACTGCGTTGGGGTTTGGTTTGGGGTTTGGGGTTTGGGGTCTGCGTCTTTTGCACAATTTCCCATTTTCAACAGCTTGACGATTGATTTCTGGGTTTCAGCTGGAGCTGTGGCTGAGGCCGGCAAAACATTTTGCAAATTGGCTGGCAACGCTTGTTTGGACCTGGCCAAAAGTTTAGGCTAATTGTTGCATCAACAAAGCACTGCAGTACTGTGAAAGCAAAACCCATCCGACCACCTGTCGTTGGTGCTGAGGTTGTAGGCTGAGGCTGAGGCTGAGGCTAACGCCGACTGTGGTGCTGAGTTTGAATTCGTTTTGGGGTTTCGTTTTGTGTGTGCCCCTGCCCGAGATCGTGGCAGTCACGTTGTTGCCACTTGGCACTTTGCATTTCTTCCAAATTTTTGTGGTTGTCTGCTTGGAAATTATTTAATCAGCGCAACAGCAGCAGTTGAAATCGAAAAAAGGATTCGATCGATGTTGCATAAACAATTGCTTGGAGAAATTTCACTTCTGGCGAACTCTTAACAACAAAAAATATGAAAAATCATTGTACAGCATGAATAATTAATCTTCTGCCAGTGATTAAATCTTTCAACACTCCTCCACACAGACAGCAACCCTTTGACTGTGCCCCGAAACTTTCCAATAGCCGCTGGCATCTGCCTGACTCTCCTTTGATGGTCCATCAGTTTAATATTGAACATGACTTGACTCATTTGCTGCACCAAGTGCGATGAGGAAAAATAACCCATTAGTTTTCCACCATCTAAATGGGAAGAGCTCGTGTCGTAGAGCTTCGCTCTTGGAGAGGATGGAGCAGCAAATGTCTTCCGCCCCTGCCAAGGCCAGAGTTCAAGTTCTGCCAAAGGGCAAAGCATTATGGCTGCAGCTTGCCTGCCCAAAACCAGGCAGCCCAGTCATAGCTCTTCGATGGGAAATAAGTTTTTGCTGGCTTTTTTCATTTTTTTTTTGCCATGGCCCACAAAATCAATAGCGTTGTTGTCTGCTTTGTTGCTGATTTGCGTCAATTTCACTATGGAAATCATCATCACGGGCATTAAGACAGTCTCAGGCGGCCAGTCAGTCTGCCTCGACACATAGTCCATGCCTGTCAGTCCGTCAAGTCTCTGGGGGTATTGGCGTTAAGCTAATCAAGTTGCCGGCTCTCTTTGTTGAGGAGAGCAGCACACACCTCTGCAAGGTAATCGTAGGAAGAAAAAAATCAACACAAAATTGTAATCATCATAAATTGTAATGGTCAGGCGAAGGCGAAGGCGAAGGCGAAGGCAGTTGGAAATCTCTTCCATCGCCTCCACACACAATTGCATGCATCAGGCATTTCCATTTCCATTTCCACTTCTTTCATGCTATTTTAGGCGGTGGGAAGGGTGTGCTGGAGTACATATTTCCCTGCCATGTTTGCCACTTGAAAACACGAATGTTTCAAGCCACTTTTGCGGAAGTGCTTAATGCTAAATATTTGCTCGAATTGTGTGGAAAATTCCCCAAAATTTAAGGCATGCCTAAGTACGGGATTAATGTTTGTTTCTTGGCATTTTATCATAGATACTTTAGTATAAGTTCATTGAAGTTGCACATATTAAAAGGGAGTGCAAAGAGTTTTCCAGTGCTTCCTGTCAGTTGTATATTTTGTAATTATTTGTTCCCACTTTGTGAACAATTCGTTAGATATTTGCCGCGCTGATTACGTATTTCGCATAGAAAAGTTCACGGATCATCAGACAATAATCAACCCAATTCCAAACGCTCGCCGCAAATTTCCGTTTTAATTTGCCGAAGGAATGGGCTACAAGTATTCGCATGGTAAATACACATTTAACAAGCAAGTAAAATGCCAGAAGGCCTCACCATAAAACTCCTTTAATTATACATAATTATATTAGTGGCCGCTGAGTTCCGCAAAAGCCGCAGGCCGCAAAACACGCGGCAAAAAAAAAAGAGTGTAAAAAATGTTTCAACCATCGGGCAACGTCAATAAATTAGCAATAACTCAATGGATAATGGCCCGAAGGTGTCTATATTATTTATTTTCCATTGTATTTGCGGTGTGTGGTGTGTGTGGTGTGTGCTGTGTGCGGTGTGTGGGTTGAAAGTGTTTTCTAAGCTTAAGCAAATCTCACCCGAGGTCCGAAACTGGAGAAGAGAAGCGGCATAATTGCATAAGCGCCACTGACCAGTCCGACTGGGCAGGGGAAGGACAGGGGCTACTGGTTACTGGGTAACCCAGTTCCACTCGAACAATACAAAAAGATGGTACATCATATTCGTATGCCAGTAATGCGAGCTGTCAGCTCGTGCGTGGAGGAGGGAGAGCTATATATGGGTCTCTGTGTTATTGTGTGATTAATTTCACGCTCCGCCTCAGACACTTCACATTTCACATTCTGCAGATGCATTTTGCACTTTGCATTCGAGGTGTATGGAATTGCCCAAGGCCTGCGGTTGCCAATGCCTGTGGCATCCACCAGACACGCATTATTAAGCAGCTGCGGGATGTGATAAGACCCGAATATGAAAACCAGCCCGAAAGTTGTCTTTCTGGCTCTGGCTCTGGCTCTGACTCTGGATGGGTATGGGGAATGGGATGTAACAGCTTCACCGCATAACGTAATCCATTCCATTCCATTCCACTCCCAGCCCCGTGCCATCCGCCAATTGGCGAGTTGGTGCAAATTGCCGTTTACGAGTGTTGCCGGTATGTAGGCCAGCATAAATATTAATGCTGTTAAAATGATGTTGTAATCGTGTCATAAAAATCACCAGCATAAATTGTAATCAAAAGAGATGAGCTACATGTATAAATTTGTATATAAAAAGTCACTGAATGAAGCTTTATGGTTTCTTGGTTTAGGTTTTTTCACGCCCAAAACAAACGATGCATGAGGGCAAAGTCTGGGGTAGACACAATTTAGTGAGCAGAATGTACATGGCAATAATCCAACAAATAGCCAAAAGTCTGCCCCAGCTGACGGCCTGATAAACACCAAAGATCATGTTCATATCGAACATTTCATTACCACTTTACCCCAACCAATGATGGGATTTTCTTGTCCGCTGTTTCCCAATAAATTTGTTACAGTATTTTATGGGCTTTTAACTGCCTTTGTGGCTACCAAGCTTTGTTGTCCACGGGCTCATAAAAAACCTCCGTAATTGCGTGTGTGGGCCTCTGAAAATCGACAGCCGCAGCAGCCGCAGCAGCCGCATCTCGATGGGACGCACCTTTCTAGAGCGGATAGCAAGTGCCGTCCCGAGCATTTGCATAATTTTACACTCGACTCTTCTCTGCTCTCTGTCGAGGCTGTCGCGCCCTGTCCGGAGGCATCTACTGGCATTGTTTTGGTCAAAATATTAACCTTATCTTTTGTGATCGGAGCGCGAGGAGGCTGTTTTGACATGGAAGCGAGCTTTTGATTGGCATTGATTGGGCCCCTGGATGTTGACCAATAACGAGATATTCGTTTGGTATTCGTTTGATATTCGTTTGGTATTCGTATCGCTAAAAGCGAGATGATATCTTTTCAAAATTCATTGCTGTTTACAATACGATTAGGGTCCATTTTGCAGACTGTTATTTGCATATTTATGTGCATTTAATTGGGCTTTGGTTTCGAAGAAATCTATGCCCTGTGAACCACACCGAAGACAATAGACTTTTGGTTTATTTTTTGTGTTGATTGGGCAGAGGTCAGACTCGGTCGCTGGTTCCATTGATGAGCCGATCGATGAAAATCATTCAAAGTTCAAGTTGAGGCCTGACTTTTGATTGTTTCCCGGCATCAAATTCAATTTGCCAGGCAGATGCTATGCATAATAGCAATAATAATGATATGATGCGGCTGTCTATTACAAACGGGTTTCCATCATGGCTCGTTTTTCGCCACGCCAAACTCGTCAGCGAGAGTGGCGGCTACCCAAAATCCCATCTCCCATCTCCCATCTCCCATCCTTCAGTGAAAATCCAAATCCAATGGCTCTGCTCTGCGCTGATTGACCAACGCTTTCTGCTAGCTGGCAACAGTTTCTTTTATTTATCCACGCCGCATTTCATAATAAAAATAAGACAAAATTACCAATGTGCGCATATTACAATAAATTTCCGAAACACACTCTACTCTTATAAGGTTTTTCCATCTGACAATCATTTCTGTGTGTGTATTTGTTTGTTTGTTTTCTTTTGTTTTTGTTTTTTTGCGGGCGCGTTCGCGTAATGTCTGCCTGCCCATTGTTTGCCGATCTGAGTTGGAAATATCTTCTTTTTCTCTGTATTTGTTGTATGCTTTTGCTTTTTGTTTTGCTCTTTTGCTCGTACTCGTACATCTAATGGCGCATTGAGACAAAAATGCAATGTCAATGGCATCATTGCGCCGTGTACTCGGTAATTTCAGTTTCACTTTTATCGATGCCCGAGCATCTAGTCTTTGAGGAAGACCCCTTACCCCTGACAAAGTTACTTCAACGATGAAGCAGTCGCTGCAGCCAGAGATGAGTCTGGTGTCCATTTGAAGTGGTAAATGGCAAATGTTTTTATACGCAGCTTCAATGCTGCATATACTTATTATAGTTACACATTATTATGTAAATCGCTTACATTGTGTGTGCCTGTGCGGCTGGTTCGTCGTGTGCCACTTACTGTTTAGCGTACAAGTGACAGTTGGAGAGCTGCTGTTGACCTTTCGACAGCTGGAGTAAAAGTGAGACACTTACAAAACAAAAGACTTTAGGCCAGTGCTAAACTCCTCCTAAAAGCATTGCATGACCACAATTATCCACGCACACGCGCGCCTCTCAGCAAGTGTCAAGCGAAATTATAGGATATATTCATGGCAAGGAGGAAGGTCTCAGGTGTCGCTGATCCTGCATCTATCATCTATCATATGTTAAATCGTTTTTTTGACAATTGCGCAATTTCGTGCAGTCTTTGCTTTAGATACAGATCTCCAGGCACGATATGTGAGTACGTTGTATACGCTCTCGGATCTCGGCTCTCGGATCTCGAATCTCGGCTCTCGAATCTCTTGCTCGATGTGCGGGCGTTTCTTTACTTTTGTTTGAACTTTATTTATATTATTATTCGCTGAATTCATGAATTAAATTTGTTGTGAATGATGCACCCCGATCGTGCGCGAGTGTGTGGCACTTTTACTTTTTGTTGCCTTACAAACACCAAGCTCTGGATCTAAGACAATGGCCAGGGGGTCAATAAATTCGATAAGCAAATCAAATATCATGCTCCGTGATCGATGACTGTGAAAATTGTGGCCTGCGGGCACTTGAGAAAACACTAATTGAAATTCGGTGCGAGATTGGAAACTCTGTACAATTATTTATGCTAAAAATATGAACACTAGAGAGTGTTTGCCTGATATATGAATAGAAATATTATAGAAAACATCTGCGCTTCCAAAGCCCAGCCTTTTGTTAGACAACATCATAAAAACGCAGAAACATTTTCCCTTTTTTTTTGTCCCCCATTGAGTGTTTTGTGGTAATTAAATTCGAGAAACCATCCTTCAGTCAATGGCCGCGACACCTCCTCCCTTGACACTCTGTGGAGGCCACCACTGTATGATTTATGACCCGATGGCTACTTTTGGGCTGGTGAAATCTTCAGCCAGCAATTGGCAAGGAAGCTGCAGAGCTTCGTTTTTTTTTTGGCCAAGGCAAACAAGTAAATGCGAAAAAACTAGAGAGTAAGAGTAACGCAGCATAATCAATTTTAAGCATTGTCAAACTGCAATTATGCAATGGCGAAAAGTGAAATTTTATTGCATGTCAACAACGGCAGACATCTGCACATATCTTGCGTTCGGGGACGTCTTCACTGATGACTTGCTAGCTGGGATGGGTCTGGCAGGTATTGGCACTGGCTTTGGCTCTGCCTCTATCTCATGGTCCAGTCCAAGGCTGAAGCTGATGGCTTGGCAAACTCTCAACTTTGGCTGGCGAACAGGTCGCTTGTCGATTTGAATTTGGCCATAAACTGTAGATTGCATAAGCTGAAATCGGATATGCTTGGGGTGTGGGCTTGGTCGCCGTTCAGCTGGCTTTTGGTACAACTTTTTTGTGGGGTTTGCATACGGGTCAGAAGAAACATAAATCCTGTAAGTGGCTCGATTGGGCAATCGCTTGCTGGTGTACCAACTAATTGAGTTGAATCAGCGACAAGGCTGTGATTAGAGCAAGTATTATTATATGCCCAGATTCCATTCACATTTATGGCCACTCTAAGGTCCAACAGTCAAAGCGTTATATGTCGCTTTTAACGGTCTTAATCAGCCTCAATCGTTAAGTGGTTTTGACTAACTTCTTTTGACTCTTTTTGAGTGATTAACGGTCGTAAAACAACTCCATCGGTAGCTGGCATACGCATCTGCGATCTCTGAATGCGAATGCGTCTCTTATGTCGCTAATTAAATTGTTTTATTGGGTCTCCGGTTGTGTCCAGCACCGAAATGGAATCATTAAATGGCATTAAAAAGCCATTACACAAATGACTCGGCAAATGACTTTCAATCGTTTGGTTTTGCCAAATAAAACCAGCCAGCCACAAATATTCCATCCATATATTCATGATTAGGTTGTAAGATTGATGGACGTCCATCGGAACTCCCACACGGAATCAATGTGCCAAAGATGGGCGTGGACAAACAGCTGGATATTTCACCTTTTACTAATTGAAGTCATTTAATTAGCAGACGTGGAGAAACTTTTTCTGTGTGGCGCATTTTTGCATATCGCAGATGCGAGAAAAGACAAAGGGGAATAGAAATTGTTTTGGGGGGATCTTTCCTTTTAGCACCTTTTAATTATAGATACTACAACTGTCTGACAGAATAATTTACTCTAATAATATTAGGATAATGATAGCAAAGGATCCTTTAAGTGATTTCTAATACAAGAGAATCCCTTTTAGAGTTAGTTATATATTTCTTGTCAGCTACTTACCCCCTTCATTATGTCTCCGTATCTAAATGTGATATATCCAATAATATAGCGACGTAATCCAAATCGAATGAGGACCGCTCCACCGCACTCTCTCTCACTCTCTCTCTCTCTCTGGCTCTCTCCCAGACGCTACCCAAAAGGTCTTTTTGCACGCAATCAAATAGTAATATTCGTTGATTCGGATCGAAACAGAAACCGACCCTAATCAAATGCGAATTAGTGGCCAACGTTTCCTTTATTGTGTGGGGTTTATATTCATTTGATTATTTTACAGCTTATCTGCCGCTGGCTGTTAGTCTTTCTGTTTGTCTTTTTGGGTTTCTGGCTGGCCCTTTCTCGTTGCACTTTATTGACGTTTAATTGCCAAATTTCGAATCGTTATTTTCAAATTAGCGAACAGTTCACACCAGCACCAGCACCAGCACCATACGATTGATCGCTGGAACCAAATGAAGCGAATTTTCACGGCTTAAAGTTATTTTCTCTGAGGGTTTTGTTTTTTTCGGGCTCTGAGTCGACTGGCCGCTGAACACAAACCAAACCGTCTGAATGCTCGCTGCAGACTGAAGCTCGGAGCGTGTCGTGGTTTCCTGGCCAAAGACAAAAGCCAAGCCTGAAGATGCTGCCGCTGCTGTTGCTGCGGCTGTTGCCGCTGTTGTTGCTGCGGCTGTTGCCGCTGCTGACTCTGCAGCATGTTGCTGGCCGGCTCTTGGCTTAGGGGCCTAATGAATGAAAGCTTGCCTCATTACGGCCCTCTCTTGTTGGCTGCTTGGTGGGCTTGAACTTGGCTTGCCAATTCGCTGGCGCCCAACACCTTTAGCCCAACGTCCATTATGATGCAACACGATTCTGCCGCGTTTACAGCCTGTGGCTTAATTAAATTTTATTAATATTTATACACTCTTTTTTTTTTCTTCTGTCTGTCCATACACCCATTTTATGCGTGTCTCGTTTTGATGGCCAGACTTTCCTTTTCGTTTTACGACATTATCCAACAGCCGACAGCCTCTGCGGTGCCATCTTCGCTGGTCAAGCAACTCGTTTCGGCCAAATCCTTGCCCACAGCCATCGCTTAATGAGCCAACGGTGCAGTCGGTCCAGCCACACAGCCACACAGACAGCAAGTGCCCCACACACGTGCCACAGATCAGAGTTGGACTTCCGCGTGGCCTCGAGCCTGTGCATTTTCGGGGCTATTCGCGGTGAAAATTTCTCTCAAATTAGCGCCAGTTTTGCATCTAAAATTCACTCATTGCTGCAGACGCATTTTCTATATTCGATTTCCGCTTTTTGCGCCACCATTTCCGCTCAGCTCAAATCTTTGCTAAACTTTGCCACTTTGCTGTTGTCTTACGTGGCTAAGCATTTGCTTTATTGTGGAATTTGATGAAGCAGGAAAATATTACACAGAAAATGGCGCCTAATATGTGGAATTTAATTGAATGAAATCTGCACATAAGGAAGCCTCCGAAATGGCTTTTAAGCGACTGCCAAATTGAACCAAATTTGATGCATAATTTCTCATAATTATAAAATACATTTGGACACTTGCTTCAGCAGTGACTTGAGTCTCCATAGTTAGCGTGTTTACTATCACAGCTTAAGATGCTCATCAAAAAATGTAACAAAGTCTGCCATTTATGGTAAATGTCATAAAACTAAGGGTTAGCTTTGTTGGGGGAGGGCAGCACTGCAAACACTTATCCACTGTCAATGTGAATCTTGCAGCCAGTGAAAAGCATTTGCGGCTGCTGCTGCTGCATGACAAGTTTTCCACATGCCACAAGGAGAAGCGCAGGCAGAGGCAGAGTCAAAGGCACATCTTTTAGCGGCATATTATTTGCCAAATGTTTTGTAAAAGACCAACAACGAGTAAAGGAGAAACAAACCCAAAAAAAAAAAGCACCAAACATCGAACTGGCAATACACGGAGACACGTCGTCCCAAAACCAGCTTTCTTCGTCGTGACTTTTGATATTTGAAATGAGATGCTGTGAGACGCCTCGACGCCATTCCATGCCAATGCCTGGTGAGCATTTGAACCCGTTTGCACCCTTTTCCATCTGCTCCATGCTCCCATGCTCCAATCTGCATGGCCACATGCGTTTTCCTTTGACTGCAAAACGAAACTTTACAAAAAAGTTTTCAATTTTGCCAATTTTTTGCTGTTATTTTTATTGCTGAACAAATTTTGATTGTGGCGAGAACGGCAGCTGCAGCCACCTGGAGGCCGAACGTGATGATCTGGAGGCAAATTGAAAATGCATGTTGCAAGATGGAGCCTGGACCTGTCTGTGCGAGTAGCTCCAAGCGGGAGGTAGGGAGGGGCCGCCATGTGAACTGATTTCCTAATGAAGTTTTGCGGTTTACCAATTTTGCCGCTGATACAAGTTGGTTCATCGCTGAGGGGAGTGCTGCTGTCAGAGCTGTCATAACTTTGACCTTTCTCCTTTGGTTTGGCAACTGTTGACCTTACTGCCGGCAGCTTGAACAACCTCATTTAATTCGATTCGCCACGCCCCGTTTCTACTACTGTTCCACCACATAATAAAGTCATCCAAACGATAATAGCAGGGGCTTAAGATGAAGCGCCATTGTGACATGTGTGGCGGACACTCTCCACTATTCCCTATGCCAACTATTCAACCATCAACTCTTCCACTCAGCCACTTATCCGCAGTCATTTATGATTAGTGGTAGCACATGAAATCATAAAGAGCAAAAAAGAGCAACGAGTCCGGAGTCTTTTGGTGTTCCATTCAATAAATAGGACAAACATGGAAAACAATCGAGAAATTTGTTTGTTAATAAATTTGTATAAATTGTAGATATTCGATATAAGACAAAGGCCTTTGTGCCACATGAAATACACATGTCAATGAGGGTTGCAGTAATAATTTAAAATGCAAATACTGAACCAAACTCAACAGCATGTTAAACTTGTCGTTTAAGGTGTGAAATATTAACGCAGCAGAGCAGCTCGCAGAGATTTGCCAACGCACTTTGGTTGTTCATTTGCATTCACTATGGGTTTGGGTTTGGGTTTGGGATCCAGTCTCTGGTTACATTTTGTCGTGGCCATGTCAGGTCCGGATTAGCCAAAATGGGTTTTTAAGTAAGCCAAATCAATCATTGAAAAGCCGCTTAATGGTCTACCAATCTGTGGAGCTACACCCACAAATTATATCGGATCTTTTCCCTCTGCTACTGACTGAACTCTTGAACTCTCCTTCTGTTCCATTGGCCCTTTGTGTGTGTCTCAGTGTCAGGGCAATTTGTTTTCTTCACCGGTAAAACCTTTGATTGCCAGAGAAACTATGAAATTAATCGAAGAATTGATTTTGATTGATATGTGTCTGGATATTGTGTGTTTTTATGGTATGTGAAAAGTGAAATCTTGGGAACCAATAAGTAAAGAGAAACTTGATCCATCAATTGATTCTTAACAGCAGAGTTCAGAATTGCTGCATTAATATTGTTATATAAATCCAACTAGTTGAATAACCAATAAACCTATAATCAATCTAGTTGGGTAATCAGCAATCATTTCCCAGCTCATTTATTACCTCGTAGATAATATTCAGATCAAGTTTATACATTTATTCGATCAACTCCAATTTCAGGGCATAAAAAAAAGCCACATTTGATACGCTGCGAGATGACGTCCGGCTCATAAACAACAAAATGCCAGGCAATATCAATCAATTATGTCGAATTCGAGTTTATCTGCACAGCCACAGCCCATCCTTAGCCTCGTGTGGGTCTGTTGCTAACATCCAAGAGACTAGTGACGAAATTCGTATATTCGATGATGCCAAAAAGTGACAAGAAATTATCTACATGAGGGGTACCTTGAGCACCTCTTAGAGAGTTCTAGCTTTGTTTATTTTTGGGTTAAAAAAAGCTTCAAATGTTGCTCCAACATATGGCTACTTCTTGGCTACTAATTCTTAGAAATCCACAAACCATCATCGTCATATGTAGATTCCATCACCAGTGTTTCTTTTGAGCTCCCCAGTGATGATATAACCGAGAGGGAAGCTTAAGTTTCGAGACATCCAGCAAAATCATAAATCTTGTGAATATTTTTGTGGTGGGGTCGGGCATCACTTCTGCGCAAGCGCACTTTGCTTTACATATCAGAGATGCAGATGGAAAATACAACAAAAATCAACATGTATCGCCTTAAGCCTTTTCGAGTGATTAACATTTTGTTGACCCAACAAATTGTAGGTGGTGACCCAAATGTGGGGCGGGAGGACAGCGGCGTGACAGCGCGAACGCCCACTGCGTCTGACTGGTGCGTGTGAAAACGGATTGGCCAAATTAACAAAAAAAAAAAACTTAGGCAGTTGTTTCAACTTTGGTTATACTCGAAATCTTTTGGCCTAACTGATCTTTTGTTATGCTGATTGCTCGTAATTTGTCAAACGGTTTGGCCTGAAGGTTGCATAGGCTTATGGATCAGCCGGCGACATGACAGTTGGCTTTCAACACACATTTGTGTATGATTTGCTTTTGGGAGACATCTGACACTGATACCAAATGAGTTACTACCAGCAATAAGTCATGCTTTAGTTACTACTCGGGAATGCTCAATCATTATTATGGATGGTCGACTTAGTGTTTAGACACTTTGATCTGTAATCTGCCGCTGAAGTATTTGCTTCGTTCCATGAGCTCCACTTTGAAATCTTGCGATACGTTTCAAAGTTTAGTTTTCAAGGATTCATTGCATACAAATTTACATTCTGAAGACTCTACATGCCTATACACAATAAACACAATTCAATAGCATTAGCTTAACCTAAGCAAAAAACAATAAAATGGTTTCCCTACAATGGTTTCTCGGTTGGTTGGTGGGACTGCCACCAATCGCTGACGTATTCCCTCAGGCTGGACAGGGCGAGAACGGCATGGACATCGAGCTGCTGCTCCTTGGCCAGCCAGTCGCAGTATTCCGAGCGCGGACATGCGGCTGAGCCACCAAAGTTTTTAACATAGCGTATTCCGGGCAGCTGTTCGGGCCAGTGCCGGGCCACACATTCGAGTAGCACATCCAACTCGTCCGCGGACATCAGGCAATGGTTGCCATCCACCGAAGCCGTTTTCCAGAGCACGTTCAGCAGGCGCGCGAGGCTGGGCACAGAGATGCGCGGCGAGAGTCGAGGCAGCAGTTGCAGGATCAGAGAATGCACACGTGATTGAATGATGTCATAGTTGGGCAGCTCGGAGCGGGAGGCTGCCGCGGCGTACCACAGATTGTTCAGGATGCTAATGATGCCCTCGATGACATCGAACTGATGGAACTCCGTGTGGCAGATGACGCCGACGAGCCACGAGTAGATGCCCACATGCTCCAGCATGATCTTGACGGCGCCGGGTATCTTCGCGCAGGTGGACAGCACCGACAGGAGCAGCAGTCTGGTCTCCAGCGTGCCCAACTCGCACGTGTAGAAGGTGAGCAGCACCTTGAACGTGTTCGTCGAGACCAGCTGGAAGAGATCGGCACTGCTCTTGATGCCACAACGGAGGAGCTCCACCATGAAG